GAAAACTGAAGCAAATGATTTACTGGTACGAGTTACATCCATAAAATGACACATAACTACTCAATACGAAGCATTGCTACTTGGCAGAGGTTTGCACCAACATCCCCCCATGGCTCGGTGGCCGAGTTTGTAAAGCTTATGTACAGGGGCCTGTTGGAACGCGGTTCAAATCTCGGTGACTTCGTTCAGCCATTTGTCGACTTTTTTCGTAAGAAAGTTTTTTCATTGGATGCTACTGCCTTTGCTAGAAGTATTGTACAGCAAAAATATGATAGTCGAAGATGAATTTGCTTAATGTTCTGAGTGATAAAAACCTTAATATGCGCGCATATCCAAGACTACAGTTAAGTTTTAATCAAGAGTCCTGGAAACACAACTCTCGAGTTCTCGCTAAACTTTTATTAGAAGGAGTTAGTCGGACAATCAGAAACACGTTGTGTGAAGAAGAAATAATCGATGGAGGTCACTTCAAGTTACTTAGATACGCTTTGTGAAGTTGAGTTTACCCATACATTTTATAAACATCAAACTGTACATAGTGTACGCGGAGAAGCAGAGGTCCTCAGGAGTGAGTTCTTTAAAATATTTCAGGTTATTCTCCCTCCTGCACTGATCGTTCATTTTTCCCCAGTTTATGCGTTCCAACAATTTAACCGTTTTTTTCCTGGCTTGTGCACAAATGCAGTTTAAACGCGCGCGCCCTGGCTTGTTCACAACTAGCCGATCAACAATTTGGCTTGCGCGTGAATCGCATGCCCGTGAACCGGTCACGGTCGGTGACCTTGAATGCGCACTCAATTAAAAAACTTTACAAGGAGCATGTAATTAGATCGTGCTAACGGATCAGACTGACCCTTCTTAAAATTCGTAACCTAGAAATCTCCGTAATTTTGGTCACCTTCTGGTGAGAAAAACGACCGTGTCTACGGACTTCGAATATCAAATTACTATAATAAAACAATCTGCTTTTGCAATTAATTCATCGAACGGTTGCAAAGACATTGGACCTCACTGCGGAGTGACGGTTTTTGTGCTTCCTCAACACAGTGGGCAATATTGGGACTGTCCATGGGATACCCATAGAATCTCTGATATCAGATCAGTCAGTGGTTGCAGGATCAACACAGAGTCCTGGATCGCAGGTTGAAGGCTGGAACGTTCGCAGATCCTTCTTATGTAATAGTGGAAATGCCCTTGCTTTTCCTGCAGGTAGCACTACATTGCGATAAGGTTTTCCAGACAAACGTGCTGGTCTATGAGCTTAATCATTTGACTACTTAGGTCTGGGTGACCTGGCAGTCTAGCAACCTACAACTGACACTACTGTAGTACCGAATTGACCACCATGATTTCAGCGGCGAAGCATCAGTGCCAGACATTGATGTTACCACATACAAGATGGGATGAGTTACAAACGAACCGGTTGTGATTGGCTAACTTGAAAAACTGTCCACCCAAAGCAGCAGCTAGGTGAAACATACCGCTGAAAAGTACTTCAGAACTAAACCAGGTCATTGTAAAATCCCCACTTCGAAAACTCTCAAGTTTCAGCAAAATGATTTGGGTTTGTTCACAATGGTTCCTAAATTCGAAAAAAAAGAAAATTATCAATAAAAGGGTCCAAACTAATTTCAGCACCTTCCAGCTCTGCGCATATTCTGAGGAAAGTACTTCGTTTCTCAACGAAGGCCTTGCTTTTGTACCCCATGGCTTTGAAACTACCGCATGTGCTCTTTTAGAATCAGTGCGAACTCTATCCAGGTCTCTGGCACGTAAACTTCGCGCAGCCGGCTTCCTGGGTTCAATGTGCAGTCCCCGGCAAAACGGGTCCCTTGAACACCCAACAAAGAGTGTTCCATTGTGGTACAATCCAACGCAAAAACGAGATCCAAGGGCTTACATATACTTTGCCGGTCAGACCGCGCTAGAAAGGTCAAGAAAGCAAACGCACGAATTTTCACCCCAAATCCTTGAACAACATTGAATCCTGGTGTCTAAAATATAGCTTTTCACGATTTAATTTCAACAGCGACGAAACTTTTCAGGGGAGGGAAAGCTTCGTCTTTCAAAGGCAAAAATCCCACGTGGTCAGTACACCTAGAGAGAAAAACTCCATCTCCATTCGAAGAGTAGTACTCGGAAACACGAGGGCATGAATCAGGAAAGTGAGCCGCAGTGACCACTTTGCGACTCTGGGTCAAAACCTGGCGAAGCGCTAATAAATATTCCAACCTCTCCGGTAGCCCAAACCCGGGCTGTCCAGCTTCAGAGGAGGTGTGAACTGTCTATCTACAATCTGCTTTAGTCTCTTCAACAAAATTAGCGAGGCTAAACAGTCAGCTCGTACTTGGAAAAACGTAGCCTGCCTTGTACATCTCGAACATTGTGATCTTTATAGAGGGTTGCTCTATTTTCCGAGTTGACCCGGGATGCGGGATGAGAGACTAGTTTGCCCCATATTTACATGCGACCCTGCCCCTTCCAACTATCGTTTTCGACGCCACCATTTCACCTGTTGTGACGCACTGTGGAACCAATCCGTGTGGATTCGATCTCCCTCTTCTCCGAGTTGGTCTAACGTTGCCCCTTGTATCTACCGAAAAATGAACATTTCTTCGCACAAAACCGTTAGCAAGATCCCCGAGATGCCACTTCAGGAATCTTTTACCAGAAAGTGGCTTTACCGCTCTCGTAGTCTCCTTGATGGAGCCCCAGCACATTGGGTCTAGTGGACAGTTCGTATCGGCGCTGACAAAAGTCGTTCTACAAACCGCTTGTGCTCGGCCTGTCGCAGCATTTATCAGATACCAGGCAGGTCACCTACTATCCATGATGGATTTGGTTATCGCTATCAAAAGACACTCTGTTGATCAAGTGTTTGTTAAAGCTGCACTGAGCTATGATGGCCATTGTGTATTAAAGCTGCACTGAGCTATGATGGCCATAGTGTGCTCGTCTTTGCTTTCATCTGCTACTGGACAGGAACGCGGATGTTCAAACAACGATTCGAAGCTTTTGCCACGCAGACGTTTCAGAACTTTGCATCTTCCTTGGTCGACGTAGACCGCGACCAGCTTTGGTGGAGTTGGCATACCTGGTCACTGTCAACAAAATCCACGGGGATGGTGCGATGTTCGCCCCAAATTTACCAGCGCTCAGTCGAATGGACTGAAAGCTATCTAAAAGGATTCTGCGTCCTTTGGGAACGAGATCACTGCTATCTTTTAAAGAGGTATCTACAAGAGGCACAGATGCGGAACCGCTGTAAGTCAGAAATCTGTCAGTGGAACATACGGAAGCAGGTTACCGTGTAAGACCTCGCCTGATAAATCAGAAGTAGAAGCAGATAAGAGGCCAGCGAAAAAGTAAATCAACAATCTTTGCTTTTGAAGACAAATTGGAAACCCATGAGTGAGCCAACAGTCGTACCTGGAGCCTACAGGGAACACTATGAAGGTCTCCATCTTGCCAGAGCGACTACGCCGTATCCAATCTTGTTAGGAGTTAAGTATGGAAGGTCTGTTATGAACTTAATCTTCACAGAAGAGTACATTCGTCAATTTTTGCACAAGACAATCCCCATCAGCTCCTTAAGACCAGGCGAGTTCTGTCTGAGGATGCTGGAAGAAGTATCATTTACACTGGTAATGCATTACTATCTGCAGTTTCGTCAGTCGCACCACGAACGCAATCTTTCCTATGCCTGGAATGGAGCGATTGTCACGTCAACCTGACCGAGTATCGCCCGGCACCTACGGGCCTATTCGTCTCTCAAGCACGCCATAAAAGTTGATCGAACACACTATAAAGTGGGCCACCCTAATTTACCTCTCCACCAGCAACATTATGTCCCTACTTCAACACAGATTACTTCCACACCGTTCCTACGCGACGAACATACTCGTATTTACTGACAAGTTAACACAAACAAAGGAGTAAGGAATCTTATCGGATGCCATATTTTTCGAACTTTTGAAAGCATTCCATCGAGTTCCACATGTATCGCTGCTGCACAAGCTGTACACTTGTGAATTTCAAGTAGGAATTCTACGCGGTAGAAAAGTGTCCCTATAAGACAGAGCAATCCCAGTTAAAGTATGCTTCACATTTCGTCGGGACTGGTCTCTATTGCCGTCCCTCATTTCTGTGTCTGACCTACGTCAGCGACATTCCTGATATTTTTTAGAGGATAATGTCAACTTTTTTCAGATGACCTGAAATCCTGGATTTTCACCCAGAGCGCTCTCCATTTGGATGTTGACAGCAAACATGTTCTTCTCACTGACGGCACGAAAGGTTGGTTGGAAAGGACTCCGTCATCTTACGGTGATTCCGCACACGCTTCCCCGTATTATGGCACGGACTTCCCGATACACAACGGGGCGTGCTTCACACCGCTTCTTGGAATTGCCAACCAGGTTGTCTATCCAAGACGCAAGGAAAGATGTAGCCCTCATTAGGTCTTCATTAGGCGCGTCCAGCCAGCCTCCACATGAACAGTTGTCAATCTTAAATCTTTGCTGGTGAAACGCGTCTCGCGATTTTCGACCTCTGCCTGGTGGATCTTTGCCTCCGATGAAGCCTATTATTTACTAATTCCTTGTTAGGTTTGGCCAACGGACTCAAAGTTGGGCGCCTGGTTTGGGGATTTTAAAGCCCAGAGCACACACTCTTACTACTCAACAAATTTTCCCATTTCAGTTAGTTGGTGCGTGGAAAGACCTTCCGACGGTTCGGAGTACTTTTATACCACTTTTCTGAGTCATCGCGCTGACAGTCTTACTGCTCCGAGCTGAGAACTTAAATAGCAGTGCTACTCTTTTTTTCGCTCGTGCCTTTCAGGTGAACAGAAGCCACTGGATGACACGATCAAAATGAACTTTAAAAGCTTGGGCGAAACCTGAGTTCTGCTTATCACTCCAAGAATCGGTGGATCGTTTTTACCCAATCAGCGATGTGAACCTTAGCCGGGGCCAATTAACCAATAGACTGCCAATAGTTGCTGCCACCGCGAATCGCCGCCCGATGCCCTGGTTGCCGGTTATCCTGGGAGGTTTCGCCACCTTGGGGAGTTTGGCTACAAACTATTATAAGGGCTGGCCATTGTATGCACGTAAGTTTTGATTCATGAAAGTCGATCCCGTTATCTAGGTAGGATTAAGGCCCGAGCACAATATAAATTGACAACTGTAAGGAACCACAGCTTTTTGTAACCACAGTTTGATACGCATGGTTAGGACTTTTGTTCGGACATCTGCTGAGTCTGTTCCTGGTGTTCAGCGACTGTGGTCGGGCAAAATGGCCTGAATGAAAGAACAAGACCATCTTTTAAGGCCTTCAACGCCATAGTACCAGGATGCGTAAGTCTTTGGAAGTCTTCCTCATGATCAGATCCCGACCAGTGTTTAGGACAGCACAAAAACCGCCAAAGGTCCTCCCGTTGTTTTGCTTGGGGAGTTTAGTTACTCCCAGGCGGGTATACGGCTAAATACTCCATGTGCAAATATTCTCCTTAGACTCTTCGTTATTTGTTCCCTTTCGTGTGTCCGTTTTCCCCCGGTTGTTCTTCATTACTTGACAGTATGTCAGGTGAGATCATTCATGTAACTCCACACCCATCCACATGACTGGCCGTGCTGATTTGGCCTCCAAAGTACTGTTCAACAAGTCATAGTTTTACTAATGTGACCACATCTACAGACACGTAGAAATCTCACTCTTATACCAGGACGGTACCTAAAAGCCTTAACCCGGCCCGTTTTGATCGCCGCATTTGGGTGCTTTTTTGCGGGAGTTGATCACTCCTTTAGGAGTGTCTGGTGTGGTCTTGTTTTTTGTCGAGGGTTCTTTGGTGTCTCTTAAGGCGTTGGGTCTCGGCAGGGTAAAAAGGTTTAGGTTCACTCCTGTAAAACCCGTAATTCGGGGGCTGGCAGAATGCTTCCCTATTCTTCTGCACTTCGGAGCCACACTGACTAACGACATTGTTTAACTGTAGCTGGGATTATTTCATCTTGTCACCCGATGACCTATCCCCCATCAACCTTTTGCCGACAGTGGTTTGGAATAGTATGCAACGCTTCTTGTGGATGGCGGTAGGCAGCGCGTATTTTACGTGCCCCAACAACCACCTGGTAAGTCGGACGATTCGGATTCGTTTCCAATTACCCGCTGGCGCGCCACTTCACTGCGTACTCCCTGCCACCAGCTAATTACGGTAATCAAAATTTTGAAACGCCTAAGGTCCTCTTATCGGAGGGGCCAAGTTCCACAACCTTAGAGTCGTGTAGTATACGTGCCCTTTAACCTCAGTGATGTTTGGTTCTGACACCACAAATGGCACGAGTTAGCGAACGCTGGTCATGCTTTTATTGTCCGCGCAATAATCTCATCTGGTACAGTACAATCACAGTCTACTATTAAACATACTAAAAAATAAATCGTTCGGCTGTAACAACCTTTCGAGGATCAGTTGCCATGCCACCCGAAGGAAGTACGAGGGACAGATGCCACTAGGTTGCCCAAGACTAGATAGGGGCAGTCGAGATGCCTAGTTTTGATTCGAACCACGAACCTTCCGACCAGCAAGTGCACTTAACTACTGAGCTAACTCGAGCTTAGTGAAGATCGGATAAGAAGGTCTTAACATCGGACACGGAGCGGTGTATGTTGGCGGTGATTTTCAATCTGTCGAATCCCTATATGGCAGACTGAAATGCCTGCAGCTTGAATCTACTGAAGATTGATTACCAAGTGGGATTTAAGGGACTATAATAAAGATAGTTGGGCGGCGTCAATAGTAGCATGTTTTCCTTTTAGTTTCCCTGTTGTGCAGCAAATAAGACCACTCGGTTGATTTCACCCTGCGACGGCCGATGTGACATCTGTCCAGGGATTCATGACTATATTTGGACAGATATACTGCCAGAGCGCTCGGAACAACCAGCCCTCAATCAAAGCTTTTAGCTCAAAAACACGACCACAGGAAAGCGGTGGTCGGTTTCAAACCAGTAGATTACCCTAAAATTTTAGAGAACAGATCACGGTATGTATTCCAATCCACCACGTAGGGTGTCTAAAGCCTGTTGTTCACGACTTTATCCATTGGCCATCCTGCTATGAGGGACTATGGTGGCTATGTGGTATCGTCCTATAGGGCGCAATGGTTTATTGAGGTACGCAAACCGTCGCACCACGGTATGACCCAGTGTCTTCGCAATGGCACGGCTTTTACATGCGAGTCGCTTAGTGTTCGAGAGTTTGAGGTCAATAAAGGCTTACAATTGTGCTTGTTAATGGGGTAGGAATAAGACTGTTATGGATATCTGAATAGGGTAAGAAGTTATGACCTAAAGCACACTTAGAACTCATCTCTTAAAGATCAAGTTTGCGTGCCAGGTGTGCTTGGGATAACTGGACGGTTATTTTCTGTTGGTTGTTGATCAGGTGGCTGTTTATCTGTTTGCCTACCTTGGTAATTAACTTGCAAACGTTCCGTGACCAAGAGTACAAAAGTAATCACGAATCCTGGATAAGGAATCTATCCAGAATGTAACCGACAAACTAAAGAGAGCGATATCATGACCTATAGTATTTAGGCAGTCTAGATGAGGCGATGAAATCTATCGGGTTCAACGAAAAGCTCAGCAGCAACTCCGTCAAACCGTCATTCCAGTCGTCACACTCAAAAGGCAACTCAACGTACTTCGCAGCAGAGAAAGAAACAATGAACAAGCTGAAGAAGGATGAAAGCATAATGACTCTACCAGAAGACAAGGGGCGCCTAACAGTGATCGTGGGTAGACCGGACTCATCATCATCGACAGGATGACATCATTGTTCAGTACCAATGTTTCACTTCAAACCTGGCTACATCAATAAAACCAGGGCATTGCAACGGAATCGCTGCAGAAAGAAGATATATACTTATACCTGATCGCACATTTCGAGTTTAACAGAGAATTTTACGAACAACTACGAGGGGTCATCAATTTCAGGATTTGTTGCAAAATTCACAGTACAAAAGTTGGAACAAGGTTTGTTTCAATACCCTCTCAGATACTGTTGTTAGCCTTTTATGTGTTGGTGGATAATTACTATTTGGATTCACAGTCTTCATTCTACTTTCTGCAGAGTTTTACCGCACTCTGATCTTGGGCGGAGGCGCGTACGGAATAGGGTATGGGATTCATAAGACATATGAACGACGCAAGCATGTTCGTCTACATGCCATTGAACACTACAAATCCATGTTTCCCGACCGTTTCCCTCAGCGCAGTAAGTTGAAGATGAGGCCTTGCTTTCTTGTAACTTTTTTAAAATACGAAACTATTCGTAAATCATGTGGAGCACCAAACAATTGGATTGTTGAGGAGCACATCAAACAAAGTCGTAAGCAGAAGCATCAAATCGAGGAGCTCCGATGTTTGGCAGTTTGGGTAAAATAAACGTGACAGCGCGTCACGATATTTAGTAAAAGTGCCTAGAAAATCGGCTTGCGGTTGGGAGGGATGTTTTATCATGTTGGTAATGATAACATGAGAAAACAGATGTTACACAACTGGAGATTGATCTCAGTGACTCTAGCACAGGTGAGTCCTGGGCTGTGCAACTTCGTCGCCTGTCAGTATCACTAACATGCTGTCCGAGCAGACAATTGCAATGATGCTGGTATCCCAACATTTATATACGTGATTCAGTTATTTGTACATAGACACCCCTCATCAGAAACCTCATTTTCTTTCGAGGGATGAGCAATAAACCAGGTGGACGCTATCGAGGATAATTTCACTTGACCTTGGGTCCTTCGATAATTAACATTCTTGTGAATAACGGCAAAAATAGATGCATGCTTTCCTGGTGACGGATTAGCTTCACCTATGGAAAATCTCTGTACGAGAAGAATGGGCCGAGTGTACTCAAAAATCGTAGTTGTTTCGGATTCGTAGAACGGGCTAGGGGGTTGTGGTGGCGACGAAACGGTCCATCGTCCGTGGAATGTTACCACTGAATAGTTGGGTAAGGTGATGGGTTTCGAAGACAGTGTTTATCGGGAAAGCATGCTGCCAAGCTTGTATACAGGGGAAGCGGGCCATTTGGAGCCATGAATGTTCAATTCTGCAAAAACGGTGAGTACATCGGTGCAGTTCGTTTGAGAGCTGGAGAATAGGTCCATAGATGGTGTTAAAGAGTTTAAAAAAACCAGCATCAATGTTGGGAAAACAATGTTTGTTTATTGGGGATTTTAGCCGAAAACATTAATGGTTGTCAGAGGCCAGTTTGGTTACAGTGAGGTGTAGATACCAGAATAATTCATTATCCAGTCGGCAAAAGAAAAAATCGTTGGTGATCACGATGGTCTTCGAGTCGTGAGTTTCAGAATGAAGCAAGATAAAAGGGAATAGAGGATGGGACTAAGCGGACCGACGTAATACTGTTGAAGACTAATATTTTTCTGTTGGTTTTCGCATTTTTAACACAATAGGCTAGAGTGCAAACGCACGACAAAAATACTTTGAATTATCAACCTCTCGTAGATTGTTGGTTTGGACGTTCATGCACCAGAAGGATCGCCGGAGCCGTTTTGTGTTGTTCATCTGTTTCAGATCCTGTTGATATTATGTGCTGTTCATGTAGTATTTTTTTAGAAGATTTTATGTGTTTAACATGCGATGCCGATTCACTGTCATTATGTTAACACCATCACCAACTGTAAATAAGTTTCTAGATTCAACTCAGGCTAATGTCAAAACCAACTTGTGCACGATGTTTGACTTGCCTTCTCACGTGAATACTTTCACACAACACCATCTTTCGCGGGCTGAACATAGCAAGCTATGCTTGGAAGCTGTGCTCTTCAGTTGCGTTATCCCCTTCTGAACGAGGTCTCTTAAGATACGCTCACACCTAAAGACCATTTCTGCATGGTCCAGGTCCCGTGAGGGTTCCCCAGCGTTGATCTTGATTTCCTGAAATATCATCCTGAACTTTAAACAGCTGGATCAAACCGTCGCTCCTAACAAAGACCAAGGTGCGGTACCCCTGCAATGGATATTCTTTTATCCCGGTGGAATACATTTGTTGTTTATCTTCACAGCCAACTGCACTCTCAGGGTAGCGGTGGATTAAATCATTTTTCGCTTTTACTACTAGCTCGCTTGCGAGTAGCGAAAAAGTGAAAGGCTACTCGGCTACGCTCGGTTTTCGCAGTTTGTACCATCAATCACTCAACTGGTTTTTACTGTTGGGTGTAATCGGGCTTTATGTATTTTATCAGTCACATAGGTTACACAGCAAACCATTCACTCACAGTGGTTTCTCTGCTACTCATAGAATGCGGTTGAAGTGGTCCCGTTTGTCACCAGCCTTCTTGGAAGAATATCATGTGTTTCTTTAGTAGCATTTGACTTCATAACTTAAGTATTTAGTCCATCAGTTTGGTTGCTAGTCTGAAGTAATAACCGTATCATCATATTCGTGAATAATAATAATGAACATACTGGTTCAGCCGTAGCACGCTTTCGGTCCTTAGCTTCTATGCCACCTGAAGGGAGCACGGTAGCCGAGATACTGACAGGTTATCCAAGCTTGGACAGGAGCAGTCGAGATGCAAATTCGAACCACAGACCTTCAGGCTAGTAAGTCCGCGTCCTAACCACTGAGTCATCCTGAGCTCTCCAATGGAAAAAGTAGCATAGTTTTGAAGTACGCCTTAAGTATTTAGTAAACACGAGCATTTCAGTGGTGTTCATTTTACTCGATAGTGTTACTTTATTCTTCTCGTCAGTGAAATAGTCAAAAATTAAAGCAATTCATTCGTACGGTGACCACAGGAGACACTGTTCGTCACATCTACCGAATGTCCGTCAGCGGTCTACAATATCCACCTGTGGTAATAGTAACTGAGTTTATTCAGTTAGTAAGTTCTTTTGATCGCTGAATTTCAGATGACCTGAGATGAATGGGCTTGTGTCGCCTATAAGATGCTACGTCTTATATCAGTCAACTGGAACTTAGTGTAAAACAGGAAAATCAGGTATTTGACTTTTTTCCTATCCATTTAGATAAATCGCGCAATTCTTGATATAATTAACTCCATAAATAAAGCTCTGTTCTTGACAGGGAAATGATCAGCAGCGTTATGGACGACACAGATCCAGCTCTGTTGTCGTTCATTTGAGCCAGCGCACTCATGTATATTTTTGTGTAACAAGTTCACGCACGCGTTTGCGTGGCTAGCCTTGCGCCACTGTCCTCGAATTGCTTTTTGTGATCAAGCAAATCCACCGATCATCCGATGTGACAGAGAAATGCAACAAAGGCTTAATTTTCGATCTAATTCCTTCCAGTGTTTTTTATCCTTTCACTATTGGCACGAAGTAAATTGGGTGTGGCTCGTATCAGCAACAAAAGTATTTTTGGTCGACCATTTCGCAGTTGTGATCTGTCTCATTTCTCATGTATCACACGCCACCCTTGTTTACCATTTTCTCTAATCCGCAGAAGTCCAAACATACAACGACATCATTTCCCCGTGGACTCCAAACCGCTGATAGTTACCTGTTCTCTTCCTGCCTCCTTCCTTCTATGAACTACCTCTTTGAAAGTAGCTATGAAAAATAGAATGTGGTCTCCACTTTGTGCGTTGTTTTACGACATTTGTTGGTGAGGCGTTATTCACGATATCACTGTTTATTTTTGGTTCAAAAAAAATCGTTCAGCTTTAGCGCCCTTTCGGTGCCTAACTGCCACGCCACCCAAAAAAGCACGGTTAATGAGGATAGATTGATATTTGTTGAATCAGCTCATCGACTTGATCGGGAACCCGACTGTTCATCTACTCGAATGTATCAAAGGTGGGGACCAACGGTTTAACTACCTACCAATAGTTGGGTTCCTTGACTCACCTATTGCGTAGGTTGGGTCAAGAAACAGCTGCCAGCGCAACGTGACGAATAGCAGAGTGTTCTTGTGGAAACCGCCAGCCAAAGAACAGTCCTGTTACGTCTTTCAGTTGCGGCCGTTTTTTTGAAATCTGATTGATTGTGGCTTCAGGACTGAAGACATCCCTAGGACGCACACCGATGAAACGTTTACAGGCCAACTTGACGAAGAGATCAGCTGTCACCTAATCAGCAACCAAAATTCCTATGTCTCTACGGTAAAGTGGTTGGGGACAGCCTCTGATAATGAAAAATATACACAAGCGTCATCAGCTCTGGCTCAGAATCGTTTACGAACCACAGCCTAAGTGAGACACAATGTCAAAGCTACTCTTATGACTTTCATCCTGGCCGATGGGTTCGGAACATGCCACCGTTTATTTCAGACTTTCGAACCTTGAGCAAACATGCAACCAAAGTACTCAGCTTAACGATAGCGCTCGTGTATTCCGTTTTCTACGTTTGTTACTCTAGCTTCTTCAAAAATTGTGCTTTTTTATTTCTCGACTCGAAACCTTCAAATTTGAAGATTTAAGGTCGACCCTCAGCAAACCGGAGACAGCTGTTCAGACAGGGTTGCGCACAAATTTTTTGCACAAACGTCGGATGCCAATTGTGGCACAGTCAGTCTATCACCGTTATTTGACGAAATGAATTTTGCGTCACCTGTTGCACGTACCCGGACTGAGTGTTATGCGATAGCAAGACAATCTACCACTCGCTCAATGCTGCAAGGCGTGAATGAACATCCCAACAGCCAGTAGAACACTGTGTTTCATGTGATTCGGGCAGTAGACATATGATTCATTCATAACTAATGTGTTTTCCTGTCGGGCCTTAGACTGGATGATTATGGAAAACGATCGAACGTGGTCAGCGCTACTGTGAACGTCGCATCCTTATCACGAAACCTCCCGTGATTGCTTTATACAGTTATAATAACTTTCCTTTGTTTACACGAGGGGATCTTTCAGGTTACAGTGCCCTTTGATATAACGTGATGGGCAGAACAAAAACTCTAGGGTCGGCGTAGGATTTACAATACCGTTCACGAGACGCAAAAGAAACAAATGTCCGAATGTAGCAAGTTGTCCTGGTGTCTTCATGACTATCTGAAAAAGTTTACTCGCGCAAGATGTCACGAAGTAAATGGTCAGGTGAAATCCCGAACATTGAAATTTTCAAAGTGAATCGCTGAAGTTCCTCCAGTTTCTGGCCAATATCTATCAGCGCTAAGTCTGTTCCAATTTCCAATCGTCATCTATCAGGGAATGCTGTCGTGCCATTAAGTGAGAGCACCTGCAGAATTCATCATCACTGACCGCAATACCAGACGATAACTAATGCTTCGCCGCTGTTAAACTGCATCGATTTGTTCAACTAAAGCCTTACAATGGATGGCGGAAACACGGAAAGTGGAACCAGAACTAGCCTATCACAGCCATCCGAGAGGCCTACACCCCCAACACTCGATGAGATAAGCTGGATAAAAATTGATAGCATGAACGCGATTGGAATTGGTTAGTCATCATATGTTTCAGTGTAATCGGGCCAACAACAAAGCGCGTCAGGTGTACTACTTTCTGTATGCGTAACCTATGGCCCGGTCAATTTAGCTGTTTGCAGTGCTGGATGCCGGTATTCCTCTTGCGAAATAGCTTCTTCTTCATCAGACACGTGTTTCCTGATCACTTAGTTGCGAACTAGTTGGTTCTGATTGACTCTAGCTGTAGCTTTGAAATGTCAGCGGTCACTTGCGTGAACATGTCCCATATCCTTTACCAGAAGTGGCGAATTATTGTAACCGTACAGCAATTCACCTCGTATTGTGGGCTGATACGTGCGTCCCTTTTTGACCACATATCGAAAGGATTTTCCACCTGGGACATCGTTCCCATACATTTCTCACTGCTGAGCATAGTTTGATGAACTCAAAGATTTCAGATACCAAGACATCATGATTTAAACATCTGTTTATTTTTCAAATGTGCACGTTGGCCCAGGAGTATGAGTGGGTCGGTACACCAGCGAGAACATTTGTTGTGGTCATAAGTTTGAGATTCACCACCTACTTGGTAACGCCCGCAGGTGTTTATGAACTAAGGTAGACGATGAGCAAGAAAGACGTATATACTTTATTCGGATAGCTTGATGGTTTGAGCTTGGGGCTCCTAATCGACCTATCTGTAGTCCCAACTCAGGCCTGGGTTGAGGGGGTCCCATTCAACCCCGGCCTGACGATGTCACCTCGATTGATGGTGAAACGTTTGCAACTCAAGTGCCGAGCTCAGTGAACAAGTCAACGACCAACCAATGCATCCGGGATACCTGTATCCTCCCCATTACATTTTAGGCCTGGGCGACCTGCCAGTACCCCACTTCATGTGCGCCCTTCGAGTTTCACGGCAGTTGGAATTGTGTTCCGATTTCATCCTGACTGAGCAATCAGACGGATCACCATAGACCGAGCCGTGTATCCCTGTCAAGCTTTCGACTTCACTTAACACCGACATGCTGGTACGGTCCCTGTTTGGCACGTCATATAAATTTTCCTCAGGTAGCAGAGTGGACTAGGAGGCAAGCCCTCTGAAAGGCTAGCATTCATTGTTGAACTTCAGGGTAAGTGCCTCAATACCTCTCCTAGCTATCGGGCTTACATAGTCCTGGATGATGTCTTTTGCAGCATTCACAGCCTGCTCCAAGTACTGAAACCGTCATTTTACTTGCTCACTGTCCCGTCGTATCGCCATGAAGCATTCCTTATTAGTGCTCCCGCGTGCGACCCAAGCACCACATGTCTATGATGCAGAAGAAAGTGGTTAGACACTTTCGATTAGATTAAGAGCTACTAAATAGAGANCCAACCAATGCATCCGGGATACCTGTATCCTCCCCATTACATTTTAGGCCTGGGCGACCTGCCAGTACCCCACTTCTTGTGCGCCCTTCGAGTTTCACGGCAGTCGGAATTGTGTTCCGATTTCATCCTGACTAAGCAAGCAGACGGATCACCATAGATCGAGCAGTGTATTCCTGTCAAGCTTTCGACTTCATTTAACACAGACATGTGGGCCCTGTTTGACACGTCATATAAATTTTCCTCAGGTAGCAGAGTGGATTAGGAGGCAAGCCCTCTGAAAGGTTAGCATTCACTGTTGAACTTCAGGGTAAGTCCCTGAATACCTCTTCTAGCTATCGGGCTTACATAGTCCTGGAGAGTGATGTCTTTTGCAGCGTTCACCGCCTGCTCCAAGTACTGAAATCATCATTTTGCTTGCTCTGTCCCGTTGTATCGCCATCAAGCATCCCTTATTAATGCTCCCGCGTACGACCTAAGCACCACATGTCTACGATTAGATTAAGAGCTACTAAATAGAGACTGAGGTACCTCGGACCAAAAGTTTTCCTAGAAAACTTCCTCCAAGTGCGAATGACACGGAGCACAACTGCACAGCAAACGGTTGCAGTCTCTTCTGGGTAATAAGGCGACCATCTTGGTACCTTAACCAGGTCGTACCGGTGTCAAAAGCCCATTCGATGCCAAAGAAAATTGCAACTGTTCGTCGGATGGCATAATTTGAATAGTTCGTCAGTATGTCCCCCCCCGGACGCTTCTAAACTTGCTTCTCCCCTGTTAAGTTCGGTCACACATTTGGGAGCCAGCAGTTGATGCATCGTTGTATAGTTCACGCCCTCATGGTTGCGGGTCATTCCAGCTACCTTTTGGGCCAGTTTTCCGGACTGCATTAAGGATGACCCACCGTCGCCTTCAGAGGAAGGTGGAAGTACAAACTATCCAGCTGTCCGATAGCGCTTCAAAGCAAGTCATAACAGTACCTCAGAAACTTAGGGCAAGCTGCTCGTTGTATACCTAAGTCTGAAAACGATCTGGGGTCGTCTCACTTAAAACCGATTTTATAGGTCGTTTCAGGATCGAATGAAACGGATTTGGACCATTTGCAGCTTTTCTGCCTTTTGATTCGCAAAAGCGTCGGGTTATACCAGGCTGAGTTGTTCAGTTCATTCCAGTTTGTCGCCATTTCCTATAATACAGCTTTTAAAGCATAGAGCTTCTCAGCAGAGCATGGAGCCCTTTCCTAATATCTGACCGTAAAATCCGTCGAGAATTTGCACCAGATGAAGGCACGATCTCAATCGGCAGTCAAGGTTGTGCCGTCCCTACCGGTACCCAACGGCTGTTTTGCCGGCAACAGGACACCAGGTAAATTCATGGCGTTTAATGCAGCTGAACCCAGTGGTAATAGGGAATAACTGTCGATTAATGTAAGGCCGCGGAGGACGATCACCATTAGCATTGTATTTCGAGCCTAAGTTGAACCAAGGTACTCCTCCAAGTGCACTGAGATTTTCATTGATGATATCTAAGAGTCTCGCGTTGGGTAGACAAGCTTTTGGTCCCTACAGGGTCAGAAACATAGCTGCTTGGTAACTGAGCAGAAATTCTAAGCGACAAACGACTGTCAATTCTGTTGGTGCAAGTTCCTATGAAAACCGCCAAACGAACAGCTATTAAGGGGGCGGCAAATACAGAACTTACAGTGATACAAAAGTAGTGAGCGGCATCAGTTTCAGAATGACCCTACACAATGGGAGCGAACTGGGTTCGATTACCTTAACTGGATCCTGTATTCAAATTTCGAAGATGGTCGTTCATGCTGAATCAAATTGTTGGTGAAACAATAAAATTTTCGATGGAAACAGAGTAACGAGGCCTCATAGTGGACTTAAAGTTGTGCCTGTAACCGACTTCTAGAGAGGAGAGATTACCAACGAAAAAAACGGGAGAGTATTGAGAAACACTACGAAATAAAATTGGTATCGGTTGCGACGTGTGACCCACGACAATCTGGCCTGAGCAACACGCCACGGTCGATGTGTTATGTGCACTTCATGTTCGTACACGGAATAAGATCCTGTCATGACGCCCAGAAGTGGAACGGGAGACGATAAGAGCCCTCGACCGGAGCATTCTCAAGAACAAGGCAGCGGCGCTTGGTGCAAGACTACTTTGTTAAAAGGCATGTCCCAAACCTCTAGCCTGAAAAACCAGACTGATTATACTGTTTGTAACGGAGCAATTTGGTGTGAGACACCCAAGACCGAGAGGATTTTCAAGCCCCAACCTCCGGTTACGGCCTGCGGAAAACAATCATCACGAGTTCACTCAGTTGTGGACTTTATTATTCACATAGCCAACCAAAGTTACGGATGAAATTATTTAACAGAAGAATAAAGAATTTTCGAACCATTGCAAGTGGAGTGGCAAGGTGCTTTCCGTATGTTACAGTGCACAACCGAAGAAGAGCAAAATACCACTGAGGGAAAGGTAATATGTACATCGGGTATGTGTATGGATAGAGGAAGCCAGAACTTGTTTGCTTCCTCCAAATGAATTGTCAGTCCGAATAATTTGGAAAGAACTGGTAGCGTACAACAACAGATAGGTTTCTTTTCAGAGCAAAAGCAAGGCAACTGAAAGCCAGCTTATAACCACCACAAGTCGCTGGCTTTGATTTGTCGCTTCGTGAACTGGTGGGTGGCAAGACCGTAGGTAGTTATTCCGAAAGTAGTTCTCAATCAGACATATGGTCTGAAAAACCGAGAGCTAGATGAAAAGAGCAGAACGCAAGAACTATCCATTGGTCATTTGGAATGTTTGAGGAAATGCGGTATTCAAACGGACCCCAGGCGGTGGGCACTACCTGACTGTCGACTGAAGATAAAATGTCTTGAGCTTCAGTTGGAAGGCCATGGTTCTCTATTCCTGGGCTATAAGGCCAGGGACAGCGGGTGCTGGTCCTGGTGCTGCTGTTTCCACACAATCGTTTGCTCGACTCGAATGGTGTTTCGGAGATGTGGTCCGGAGGGAGTGGCAACCAGCAGGGTGATGATCCGTCAAATTTTCCACTAGCTCTGTAATGATTGTCTTCAGTGGAGGGCGTTGTAAGTGATCCACGGTACAGCAGTCCAGGGCAACTTGGTGCAATCGCGGTGGACATGTAGGCGGTACGGGGAGATTTTGGTGGTCCAATCCAAAGTCCTGTGTCAATAAAATGTGAGAAATATGGATGCGAGAGCGGAGTGGTAAAAGAGTAGTTACTAAATGCTGGCCTGATTTTGAAAAATGAAATGCCGAATTCTATAAATTGCTTTGAATACTGATGATTACACTTTTCATTGGGAACATTTCAAACCCATCATCCTACAACCACCTGAAATTATTCCCCAGTAGTGCGGTCTCTATTGTGCGTTTTACTACCTTAACACTCATCACGAAACTAGTTGGAACCGGTTCATACACTCATCCACATACCATTTGGCTTTGACGGGAGACCCATCTGGAACCCAGCTAAATGTCCCGCTCAAGGACATCATAAACAAGATCCAGCTAGGTTCCATGTGAGTCTCCCATCAAAGCCAGAATGGTGTGCAGATGAGTGAAAAAAGCCGAATTTCATGCAATCCGGGTTCAAGTAGAACACAAAGTTGACGGAAAATCGGGGATTGTGCCTACCTGATGAGCCCCAAGAAGGGCTAAACCGGTCGTGGGTTGTCGAGGCTTTCAGTACCCTTATGTATAGTGTATTACGCCTACATTCGAAACAAGGTTTTAATGTTGGTATCAGTCCGGGTCGAGACGACAGTTCTGATCGATCAACTTTAACATTGAGTGTTAATCCGTATAACGAGGATGAAGAACCTGCTATCAGAACAAACAGATCCTGGAGACGACATGAATTTTCCGATGTCCGTGCTGCAATTAAGAGTACAGCCCCCAGGAAGCAGCTCCCCTTGCATGCTGCATTGCCTTGAAACGTGGGGTGAACTGCGAATTTACCCTGAGGATAGCTCAGTATGGAATCGATCAGGAAAAGAGCCGGAAGAGATGCTTTTCAACTGCCCGTAATAAAAATAGTCGGAAAAAACACCCGCTCTGACATTCCACCAGAAATAGCGCAGCTTTTCGCTTGCAGATGTATCGATACCTTATTCAGACCTATCTGCTTATTAATGAAAAATATTTTTTAAAAAATAATGAATTTACCGATTGGAATTGCTGATTTGAAGAATCGTGTTTTTTATAGAGGAGAATGTCGGTAGCTCAGGTAGCGTAGATGGTCGTTGGCTTGTTCGCTGAGCTGGGCACTTTGGTTGCAAACGTTTAATCACCAATCGAGGTGACATCATCAGTGCGTAGTTGTGCGTAGCGGTGGGTTAGTGGTTGTGCACAAGCCAATGAAGAATCGTGTATTTGTGTGATTACGGAGGTCTATCTTGCACATGACCTTAGGCTTAAATCCGAGATGACTGCTGTGAAGATACGTCTAAGAGTTGGAGTCAATGCAATGTTGTTGTTTGTCAGTCTGGTAATGTGGTACGGGCTTTCATGAACCAGTCTCGTCTGACAGGAGGACATTTGCTTCCAAGCAATGGAAGCATTTGACGAGTTAAAGAATAAACTGCTATTCTATTTCTTGTGTGCTCCGAAACGAGAGAAATCATCACAGTGGGTTACTATTCAATAGGAACGAATATGCTTCCACACTTGACATCCAAACTCATACAATCAATTTACGCTGGCAAATACCAGGTGTCACTGATTAACATGATCACTTTGAAACCTGAGACTAAATCCAAAATTGACTGCAGATTAGTTTGTGGGTGATGACGGGGACATTCGGATTAACTAATCCACTAATGGAGAGGGACGTTAGTAGTCGAAAATTCAGGATGGAGGGTAACTCTATCAAGGAGACAATTAGAATGCGCGAAAGGAGCTGGTCACACGACCAGCTTCTTTTGAGGGGTTTGTTAGGCCCGCATACATAGTACAGTGCTCGCTCGGTTAGCCCGGTATGAGAACAATGAAAGGTAAATGAATGTACTTAAGTTGAGTTTCCCCCTTATTGGGGATCAGCAGCAGTTCATATTCTCAACGGTACCTATATTTGAGCCGTATTAGCTCTAAATGCTCCATCTCCAAAGCTTTTGGCTGATTTCAGAGGCGTCGATAACCGGAGTCAGCCAACATTCTCTTTAGTTGTCCTCTGTTTAACTCTAACAAGGGCCCTAGTTGGGATAAATGCTCACATAAACTCCGCAATTAGACCTTAAACCGAAACTGACTAGTGCAAATTGAAGGTCCGAATTCGGGGCCTGGTGGCAATGCTTCCAAAAGCACGGTATCCAGATTACAAGGGAGAAAGTTGGGACCGTATCTTTGTGAACCGTTCGGGAATTTCACAGCTGACGCGTTTGCTTTCTTGGCATTAGCCGTTTTGGAAACTATAATGTCCTTAATCTGGTGACGTGACCAAATGGTCTTTCAACACTTTCCCCATTTTTCCCTACGTATTTGTGAAGTTCACTTAACTCTTGTAAGCGGTTTCTCACTAGGACCGATATAAACTTAGTCGAGACGAACAACCGTAGAAAAGATTTGATTTCTGCTATCGTTTTTTCTAATTTCTTCAGTGTTGAAAATTTAGGTGGGACACAGTGAAACGGCACGATTACAGACGGAACCGAACGCAGCGCTTGGAAAACTGTCACCGTTGACTGCTGTTCCTGTGTCTATCGAATGGAAATTTGATCGGTGTATCGCTCCAAGTTCTGTTTTCCGGCTTTCAATAGTGTGTAATTGATAAATCGGTTACAGCTACTATAGTCTAGACCACAGAGGAGTACACTGGACGTTGCGGAGTAACTACGCATTGGAAGCAGGATACCCGTGGCTTTGTGTGTCTGATCCTGGAGTCTGTATTCAGGGACGAAAATTGCCAGCGTGACTGTTGGGACTTTAACACCCCTAACTCCGGTCTACGTCCGTCCTAACATAATGTACCTATTTCCTTATGTATAGGAGAAAACGACAAAGCAGCTTGAATGCTCAGGCGGACGATGAGGTATGCTTTGCCTAGGAATTAGCTGGACATTTCGAAAATCAGAGTAATTATAGGAGTATCTCATTTTTCCCTCCACGATATTATAAGTTGAAGAAGACCACGAACTACGATTGCCTATTCTGCTTTGATGACAACTCTACTTAAGACAGTTTCTCAGAGTGCCCAGAAATGTCTATTCGGTAAAAATTTACAGTAGGTCTGACATACAATCTGCGGGATGTGTGCAGTACGGTGGAAACTTTCATTTCAGATCATAGATTTCAATCCAAAAAGAGTGGTTTCAAATTAGACCAGTGGGCATCGGAGGATAACATGGCAAGCTGAAGCGGTGGGTGCCCTTGGGGAAAAAGCAATTCACCCGAAAGTGAAATTGCATTGGCTCAGAAGGTGGGGGCGGATAAAAACGCAGGATTTTTAACACAGACTGTTGGTCCAATTCATCTGATATGTGAACTATTTGATTCTTGTTCCCATAAGTTATTCACTTCCGTTAACCACTAACAGAAATGCAGTCAAAGCATAAGTTGACACTGCAAGAAACGTTGGGGCTAATCAGTGCAATTCCATACAGGTAAGAAAGCGCGTTGCGAAACTGGCTGTGCACTGTGTCTGCGCGTAGCGACGTCCTTGTCTGTGTTCGCAATGCACTCTTCCGCGGGTGTGCCCGCAAATTACGGAGCTAATACGGCTAGTTAAAGCGTTTGAAAGAGTTACAACCACCTCCCACGAACCGTACCGCCCCCAATGCATGTAGAATAGGTTCATGAACACCACGGCGTCCAGTCAAATTGTGCGTGGGCAACATTTGATGGGCGCACAATCGATAAAGTTTAAAAACTACCGCAAATTTCAACCCTAGTCCAAAATAAAATGGTGAGGGTAGCTGTTTTCTTGTTCTACTTGACGCGCAGCTGGTTTAGGATTCACCACAGGTCCAGTTTGTTCACCCGACGGTAGTTTGTACATCGTCTGTCTGTACGTTATCAATTTATTTAACGTTGTATCGTGGCCATTCAGTGTAAGTGATGCACCTTAAGCTGTTCTATCCAGAATAAACTATATCTTAGGCCTCTAAATGATTGTTCACCCGACGGTAGTTTGTACATCGTCTGTCTGTACGTTATCAATTTATTTAACGTTGTATCGTGGCCATTCAGTGTAAGTGATGCACCTTAAGCTGTTCTATCCAGAATAAACTATATCTTAGGCCTACAATCTAAATGATCGGCTTTTGTGGGACAATCGTGTCAAAATGCTATCATTTAACGCTTATTCCAGATTATTCAACTGCCAGTACGATTGCACCGGCAAAGACTGTGCTGTCGTTCTTATCGGCCCACAAGTCAACAGCCTATGGAAACCTAAAGTGATTCGAAGGTCACCATCATCAACAGCTGTAAGCCGTAAACAAACGGCAAAGTCGCTGAAGCTATCATATTGCTTGTGTCCTAGGTGACCAACTGTACTCATGCTCAGCTGGTTTCTTCAAAAAACTGATTCAGAGTGACGTGGACGGGAATAGTGGTCTGTGATATTCACTCACTAACAGGAAGTGGTAAGGGGGCATCCGTGTATGGCCCGTGTGAAGAATCAGATTGTTTTCATCGATAATAGACTGAGACAAAGAAACAAAGCCACTTAGAGGTTTAAATGACACCCCCCCCACGACATCTAAGAGTAGCTATAAACTTATCACAAGTTCCTCACTACCAGACAGATCCTTCAAAATGAAAACTATGGTGCCCTTATTAAGGTCTGTTGCCATTCGGAGTTGCAGTCACAACCCATTAAATCACTTACTACTTACGAGTAGTCTATGTAGTGAATGGAAAGCTTAAATTCAGAACTATAGGCTTTCGGAAAGATTCGCTCTGATGGTCGTACGGTGCGCATGCTACATCCAACCTGGGTACACATTACAAAAACCGAATAATAATAATAATAATAATAATAATAATAATAATAATAATAATAATAATAATAATAATAATAATAATAATAATAATAATAATAATAATAATAATAATAATAATAATAATAATAATAATAATAATAATAATAATAATAATAATAATAATAATAATAATAATAATAATAATAATAATAATAATAATAATAATAATAATAATAATAA